AGATAACAATTTCAACATTTTACGCAATACACCAAGTAAGTATATCAATGTAAATTAAATCATAAAACAGGCATTTAATCCCCAAAGAATAGGGAATCTCGAGTGATTGGCTGATAAGCGTCGCTGTTAGTAGCAATTGCCCTTATGATAGATCTTTTTTTTTTTATTAGACTGCAAAACTGATAATTCAGTTGATTCGCCGTTTCCCCCCTATCCGTACTCACTTTATACAGTGTTTCAAGGGAATAAAGAACTATGTACATGCAAATGGGTGTTTCCATGGTGTCGAACGTGACATTAAGTCGTACGAGTTTTGAGTTAAATAAATCATACGAAAACCGAAGTCAGTTGTAAAAAAAAAAAATTAGGTATAAGGCCATTAATGTAGAGCTTAACAGTTGTTTTTGAAAGAAACTATAGTCAATATTCCAAACATTACGTTAGTTCAAGGCTACTAGCTTTACATCGCTTCAGAGCGGAAAAAATTTTACAGATGTGTTAATTGCTGTGAGGGGTGAATAATTTCGGACCAGCATGATGCGCGTACACGCTGCAGCTACACTATATTCGCATGCATTCACATACATACTTAGTTTGATAAATTTAAATGCCAATATGTTTAATTAAATGTAATTAAGAAACAAGTGTAAAAAAACACCAATGATAGGCGGGCGATAAGCAAAGTTGATGAAGGAATGCAAAATTGCACTTAAAAAAGAAATTGTTTTTTATATGCAACAATAGCGGAAAAGGTGACAGCAGCGATCGGAGGGCACAACAGAACGTGCTGGGCAGAGGGGACAAAGGAAAAATAGAAGCGCGACAGCTATTTTTGGCGAAACATTAAAACGAAAATAAACATTTTGTTTTCAGCGCATTTTTGTAAACACATATATATCGTCGATGCTTTTGCAAAACCGCCTATCTTTCGGCACTCAAATTGCGCAAGAGAACGAAAAACGGGGTTTCTTTGAAGGCATTGCTTTGAGAGGCATAGCTATTATTTAAAAACATCTGTTGCTTTACTAACGATTTTACAATTTTTATGCATAAATCTTGATGGCTGGATTTCAGGGTTACAAAATCTCATTTTTGCCACAACGGCGACTTAGGCGGTTTTGCAACTGGTCGATGTGCGGTTTTGCAAAAACATCGACGATATGTACAGATGCGTGCAACTAATTAGCAACGAAATTCAAAACGATATTGCTTGCAAATTATGTTTATTTATTTATTTTTAATAATTTTCATTTAAAATATAATTCAATCTATAACAGAAACCACAATAACAAAAGTTGCAAAGTTTGCACAAATTGCAAAAAAATTAATCAAACTTAAAAAAATCGTCATCAAAATTTCAAAATTTTTAATTAGAATATATAGAAAATGTTGGGGTATGCAGTTTTGTAGCCCATTCAATTTTAGTATAATAAAGTGGAAGTTTCAAGTCGCTAAAAATTACCGTTGATTTTTTAGAATTGTTTTTTGTCGAGGGTGTTGCGGATTTTTTTCCATATAAAAAAAATTTTGATCATGTGTTATCTTATCCATCACGATATACGAAATTTTATACGAAATTGCCCAAAGTGAACATCCACTGTAAGCGTTTGGGGAGTTTTTTGAATTCCTCTTATCTGCAAGCATTACTTAATTAAATAATTTTTTTTAGCCATAGCCCGTTCATGTGCTTATTGCTGCAAGTCTCGTAATCAAAAAAATTTGTTGATGAAAAAATGTTGTTTGAATTGAAAAATGAGCGCCACCTCTTTTTCTATGCTGTGTATCGTTTAATAGCTCATTAGAAGAAAATTTGTCTTAATTTTTACTTTGAGAGCGTATGTAAAATTTTAAGGCGTTTTTCTCGAGTTTTTGATTTTTTGGAATATGATACTCTTGCAGTAAAGTGATATGTACAGTGAAACCTCCCTTGGGCGGACACTCACCGTCAGTAATTTTTTGTCCGCCCAAGAGAGGTGTCCGCTCAATGGAAGGGAAGCTTATTTTAGTACTTTTTAATGTTTTAATAAATTGAATAGTCACTATTTCTTATTTGAATAAAAGATATTGATATTGCATCGTTCAAACAAAAATGTGCATGTCTTTTTTCAAAAGTGCATATTTCATTTATGTGCTAAGTACATATTAAGTAATAACAAAATAAAAATAAATATTACATTTCAGTCCATAAACTACATAAAACCATAGATTCATTACATAAAAAATTGTGAAATCGTCGATTGACGTAAGATTAATTTTTAATTTTTTTCAGTGTCAGTACCTTTTTCATCAATAGTTTTCATGTTTTTATCAGTAACAAAATCCAACCAGAAATCTAAATTTTCGGTCCATGTATTTATTATTATCTATTGTTATAAATTCATCAGAATTGGAATTGGATTCTGCAAGGGTTTCTGGTAATTCAAATAACGAACCTAAACCACTGCGCAAACCAAACTAAATGT